GGTTCAAGCACCTACATTGAACACCTTCAAGAGAAATTTGGATGCTTATCTTGCTGGGATCCTATGACCCCAGCTGACTTCCTGCCCCTGGGGCAGGGTGCTGGACTCAATGATCTTCCAAGGTCTCTTCCAGCCCTAACGTCTATGAAATCTATGAAATGATCTTCTCCCTTGAGGCAGTCAGTCACAAATAAACTATCTTCTGTACTTTCTTTCTGAAATATAGGACATAACTTTAATGAGTGTTAATTGCAAGGGGGAACAAAAGTCTTGAGCTTTTGAAGAACTGAAGGAAGATATCACGGTTTCTAAATAGGTAGTAAAGCTTTCAACAAAAGGAAAACCCATGGACTGCACCCTGACTGGTACCTGCCAGATCCTGAAAGAGCTGGAATTGCATCTAAAAGAACTGGGTTGCCTCTGCAACCAGAAGAGGAGTAACAGGCCAGCAGTGATGAGGAGCAGCAATGGGGGTGGTGAGGCGTGACTAGGAACAGGGCCCCAGCAGTAGCAAGGAGCAGTAACCTGCATCCCCAGCAGCAGTGAGGAGCGATGAGGAACAGTTTGTTCACACTGAACACCCAGACATGTAGGCAACGCGTAGGGGGTGCATGGGGGTGCACATGCACCCCCTGAGAGCGCTGGTGCCCCCCCTGCGAGTGAGCGCTCTTGGCTTAGGTGATGGGTGGGGGGGCAGACAGAGTGCTGGTGCCGCCCTACTTCCCCCTCCCCCCCCACCAAAGTGCTGCTGGCACTTGCAGACACACCGCCGGCACTTCTGGGCTCAGCATCTGGCTGTGGGGACACCCCTGCCCCTTCCTGCCTTTGATACTGCCACGGCCACCTGCAGAGAGTCCCCGTTCAGCCCACCCTCGCTTCCGATGCCTGCGTCACTGCCTGTGGGTGGTCGCTGTGCCCCCCAACAGTCTCAGGCGGCACACATTGCCTATGCCCAGGCAATTTTCTCAGATTGCTAGGTGGGAGCTCAAGCCAAGATAATCAACTTGTGTAAAAGCCCTAAGGTGAACTCGGCCTGTGTTGTTGCCATCTGGTACCTGGCAAAAGGGTTGCACAAAATTTTGATGCCACCAAATCCAGCTTCAAACCCTAGCTGAAAATCATCCCAAAGGTGATCTAGATCACAACACCAATTCTCCCCCCATCTTTATATGGAGCAGCACATTGTACCCTAACTACTTAACCTTGTGGAACTGCAAAGGATATATTCTAGCTGCTCCATGATTCAGCAACAACTGATAACAGATTTCAGGCTGGGCAGCTGGTCGCACAGGTGTCACTTTCAGAACATATTGTATGGGGGCACAGCCATTGACATCCATGATGTTGGCTTCAGCTCCTGCTTCCAACAACATGTGCAGCAGCACATGATCACAATTCCATGCAGCTTTGTGGAGTGGTGACTTGAAATCCTCATCTCGAGAGTTTACTTCTGCTTTATAGTCTAAGAGCATCCTGCAGATTAGATGGTGTTCTGTACTGTATATTTGCTCTTTATACTGAAGGGCCCAGTAAGCAGCATAAGCCAGGGGGGTTTCCATGTGTGCATTGAAAGCATTCACATTTGCTCCTTGTTCCACATAAAATGCCACCAGTTCAGGGATGCCAAAGCGTGCAACTGTATGCAGGGGAGTCTCTTCATCTTGATTGTTTGTTTTTATGTTCACATTTGCTCCTGTTAAGAAGAATGACAGAAAACAGTTACACAAGCATCCATTGCTTTTATAAGCCTGTTTTTCAAAGACCTCTACTGTATTGTTCCCATTATAAATAAGTCAACCCCAAATTTTCAGGTCCAATTTTAGGAAAAACAGCAGGGGGAGGGGGCGGTCCTCAGAAAGGTAGCTGGTGACTATAGATAAAACTTTGAACTGCTATTGCTCTTCAAAAATCCCACAGGGGAATTGAATAATTAAAGAAAGGACCCAAAAGGTTAAACACACTAATATTATTAAAATAACCTCATCAAAACAATTTGAGAACATTGCAGTAATTTTCTCATTTGTGTTGTTCAAAGCTCCATTTATTATATGCCTCCTCTTAAATCTCACAGTCTCTTCTTTCTATGCAGCTTAACTTGTCTATATTTTTATAAGGTTTTTTTTCATCATTACAAGCACATTACACAAATCACAGACACAAATCTCTCTCTCGACTTATTTTATACATACTATGCGCACACACACTATGCGCACACGCACACACACACACACACACACACACACACACGCATCAACATCTAATCTTCTCCAGAAGACACTTTGGTCAACAGGATAGGGAAATGTAGCAAGGATGCAGTAGGAAAAATAGTGGAAAGTGGTAATCAGTAGCATTCCTATTTAACTACTGCGCTTTCGTTTCTCATGTCCTTGTGACAAGTTACTTATCAGAATTAACAGATTTTGTTGAAATCTGACAGGGCTGTGCCATAAGAACTTCTACTATGGCTTCAAACTCCTGACCTCTGGACCGTCACCCATGCACCTTAAAATTGACACAGAATCAGAACAAAAGTACAGCAGAGTATTGTCACTTCTTTGTCAAGCAGAAGTAAATGTTGAAATCTTTCAGGTCAGTGTATTTTTAATACAACTAGATAACTTTATACTCTATACGCCAGTTTTTAAACAGATCTCATTGCACAAACTGTGCACAGTCAATCCCTCAACCAGGAACCTCAGCACAAGCAAAATATTTGTCCCAGTAAGCAGCTCTGTCTCCTAGAATGGATTCTATTCAGAGAGATTAAGGCAAAGAGAAAACTCCTTTTCTGCTGGCTCCAGCTCTACACAAAAAAGAAGTGTCAGCACACAACTAGTTCCAAAGCCTGCAAAGTGCTTATTGACTAACGGGTTTGGCACAGGTTCCCTTAAAAACATCTTAAAGGCATTTAAAATTATAGCAATCATTAGTTAATGGGTGTTAAACTGCTTTAAGTACCCGCTAAATGTAGATATGGCACTACAGAGGTTTATCTTTTATTTGTTTTACCCAGGTCATTCCAGGATATTATATGGATCCTCTGGGGAAATAAAACTCCTTACTTTCATTCCTCCAGCATCCCAGGATCCATAGGTCCCAACTACTCTACCCCTTCCCATCCACCAAACCTCTAGTTGGCTCCTCATTCCCTCTCGTTCCATGCTGAGAACAACCCTCAGAGGGCCTGTCTACACAAAATACTTTACTACAACAGTAGATTAGTCTAACACCCTGTTGTCTAGTGCACGTACTAGAAATCCATGCATTAAACTCATATGTCAAAGGACACATGTAGATGCTGACCGGGAAAATATTGCAGGGTGGGGAGCAGGGAGAGCAGTCCTGGCTGGCGGGCAGCTGGCTCCCAGCAATGTGGAAATTGGGACCTGTCCCGATTTCCATGTGGCTGGGAGAGCTGTCCCAGTTGCCAGGCAGCTGCCACCCAGCTACATGGAGATTGGGATTCTCCCCTGCCCTGTAGAGCTCAGGACCAGCCCCTGTGCCCCCTGCCAGCCAGGAGCTGGCACTCAGGGAAGCCTGAGCTCCCCTCGGCTGCTGCAGTGGGGGCAAATTTGCTCCCAATGGGTGTACTTCAGAATTTTCTGTGGAGAAATTTCTTGCACATTAATTACATGTGTACACATGCCAACAGTGTTTAATTGCAGAGAGACCATGTAGCCCATTTGTATGATCTCACTGCCTGGGGGCTGTGCTGAGCATGGAGCCACTGGGGCTCTATTCAAGGGAGATGTTACAGTGGGGGGAAGCTTGCTTGTCCCAGCCACATGGTCTCTCTGACTAGGACTCCATGCTTCCCAGAGAACCATGGGGGCTCAATATTAACTGAAGGCCACACAGGGGAAGCTTCATTGTGCCGCAGTTCACCTGGCCCCACAAACCCTTTGTTTTTCAGCTCTGTCCTGGTTGACTTAACTCATGGCTGATTTGGACTGGAACACGAAAAATTCTCTTTAAAAAAAGTGATCTGCGCCATGTAGCCAGCATGCTGGTTCTTTGCCTTGTGCCCTGGCTATTTCTTCCCTCCCCCTGTCCCCTGGGCCAGGACAGCTCCCCCATTCCAGCCAGCATATCCCCTGCTACCCCTAACCCAACTCCCTTGCCTCCAGCCCAATCCCAAGATGCTGAGACACATGCAAGATTTTAGTCCTTTATTATTATCTATTTTTTCTGTTTTTCACTCCTTTCTCTTTACTTCCCCTACCCCCTTCAAACAGTTTTTCAAGATTGCTCCCCTCCCACTCTCTGCTCTGGCTGGGCTCCTGCTGGCTGTGGAGAGAGAGAAGCTGTAGACCCCTTTCCTTACCTCCATGCTAAGTACCACCTTCCCCCTCCTCTCCCACCACAGGGGAGGAAAGAGTCCTGGCTCCTCTCCACACCCCTGCTTGTTAGCCTGCTAGTGGCAAGTCACAGCCATGCAGGTCTGAAAAGGCATGAAGCTTTCACTGGAGACTGCTCTAAAACCACCATAATTTTATGAAATCACAACATTTCACAGATTCTGACCTTATACAGGTAACCTGTGCCAAAGTCTTAAGAAAAAGAATTTTTAAATCTTTGTATAACAGTGCCATCTGGTGACCCTTACCAGCTAGACTAAGCTAGGCTAAACTAACCCTTCTGTATCCACTAGGTGCTACCTGAAGAGCATGGAAGAGAGAAGGCTTGGAGTAAACACGAACCATACTGCTGTTTTCCTTGGGTGCCTCTGCACGAGTGAAGACTCAATTAATCGAGTCTGCCAAAGCATGGTAATTACCATGCTCCAGCAGCCTCCCACATCTTATGTATTAGTGTTCCTGCACTTCAAAATGGTGGCGGGGCACTTGAACTGCCACCATTTTGAAGCATGGGGATGCTGATACACAAGACGCTGTGATGTTTTAACTGAAGTGGCTCTTGGAGCTGCTCTAATTAAAGCGCTGTTCTCCCCCAACCACAAGAGCATGTGCAAAAGTGCCCCTTGGGACCAGGCAGATTCCCATGAAAAATAATCCTCTCACAAGTTACCACTAGTTGACCCAACTGTACTACCTACTTCATACCCTCTTGAGGAGTACAAGCCAGATATAGTAGAGATGTAATGGTTCTGTACTACCAAAGGTGTGAAAACATGAGTGCTCCCTGGTGATGCTCGTGGTTCGTGGAGATGACCTCTGAGTCTCCTATGACTTCACTATAAAGCTGAAAGTTCAAAATTTCAGAGCCAAACCTCACAGATTAGACTTCTTGCCATAATGAGCTATAGGAAGAACTTCCACCTCTGCATGCCCCCCATCCTCTCTGTTCCTTCAGAATCAGGTCCAAATCTGTATCTCAAGTTGTTAAGAAATAAAGGAAAGGCAAAACTCCAGTAAAAAAGCTCAGGACTTTCTACACTAGTAAATGCCGCCCACCCCGGACACACATCAACACCGTCATACTTGCCCCAGTATTTCCTTAACAGAGAATTTAAGAGAAAAAGCATTTTGTTAATAATGTAAATAGTTTAGACGTACTGAAGTCATGAACTAAGGATTCAGGCCTTGTTTTTAAGCTCATACAGCTGCTGCCTTTGGTGTCAAGTTTATATTGCAATTGAAACAACTGCACCATCTACTGGGCAGTCAGGCTATGTGTTTTCTACATGGCAGCAAAAGAAAAAGGAACATACACTGCATTTTGTGTATTGTTACTGGTAGAATATTAATGCCCTTTTTTTCTAATTGCTGCAGCCAGAGTCTCTGAGTGTCTTGCTGCCTCTTAGATACAACCTGCTCTAAATAATTGCAGGCCAGTGCAAAAGACATGATTGCATGCTGCTAACATAGAAGAAAAACTGACAGAGTAACAGCATCTAGACTGGAAAGGACCCACAATCATCAGAATTTATAAGGCACAGAGGGGCAAAAGTAAGTCTATAGCAAATTTCTTACTCCTGGGGAAACCCCTACAACAGCTTTGTCTACACTGGGTTTCTCTCTCTAGGCTTATTCCTGGCTATAATGGCTAGGATTTCTTTTCAGTATCAAGGATGGGCTGGAAGGAGCGAGGGCACTCAAAAATGACATTGCATTGTCAGACTGAGGAACAAAGCATTAATTCTCTCTAAGCATTAAGACAGAAAAAACACAAAAGAGGAAAAACTGAGTTCCTGTCAGCTTAAGATGTTGTTGGGGGAAGCAGTGGGGAAAAACTGCAGAAATTGGTAATGTGAGAATGAGAAGCATTAGGGCGGGCAGGGGTGGAGAGGCACATCTGTGAGTCCTCAGTGCAAGGATGATAACTGAAGCCCTGTGCTAAGCTATTGTGTGATGTCGCTATGCTCTCTTAATCACCTGCCATGTTTCACTCCAGAGGCCGTATGGCTCTGTGTCGAGGTTCTATATTTAGTTTGCATGGGAGTTCAAGGTTGTAAAGAGCTTTGGGATGAAAGGGGACTTGCAACTGCAAGGTATTATTACTGTGTTGTTGTTATACTGGGGAAGAAAGCCATTAGAATACAGCCTTTCACATGCATTCATCCTACTCTGCCTTTTGCAAGAGTGTATTTGACTTATGCTTTCCTGTGGTAGCAGATATAACTCCTGCTCTCAGAATTATTTGCTTTGGGCAGAATAAGACTGGCTGCATTAATTTTCCTTTCTACTAAACAAAATAATATGCATCCTTTCAGCAGAAGGCAAGTGATAGAGTAATTTATTAGGATCATATTGCTTTGCCCCTGAGACATACTCAGGCTCTTAGAACTTAGCCTTGGGAAAAAGGTCTGCATTAACAGCATATGTAGCAAATTACACCAAAGCGCTTACACTTGCTGTGGCAGCATGTGACAATCAGGGACTCTGCCTATGAAATTTATGAATTTCTATTTGATTTTATGAACCCTCTGTGTCCACATGCCTTTTGACTGACTTTTTCAGTGTGCAGTACTTGCTCCTTGTGCTAAAGGTATAGGAGTAACATTGGCATGTCTATCTGTGAACAACTTCATCAGGGGTGTGTCTACATGAGACATTTACTGCACAGTTGACTAATTAGCTGTCCAGTAAATATCTTGGTGTCTACATATGCGCCCCTATTAGGCTGGAGTAAACTAATTTACTCCACAGCAGGATAGTACTTGTAAATACTATCTGGAGTAAAAAGCTCCACAGCAGTGTGTGTGTAGATGCTGCTCCCACTGGCTGAGGCACAAGGGTGCTTCAGTGTTGGGGCTGCCTTCCAGCTAGCCCCATGCTGAAGCTCCCTTATACCCCAGCCAGCCCCTCCTCAGCACTGTGAGCTGGAGGGAGTAGCCCCAGGCTGGCAGGCTGACCCACAGGGCCCTCTGCCAACCAGGGCTGCTCCAACTTGGCTCCTTGTACTATGCATGTATAAACTCTAGAGCTTATTACTCCAGAGTTAATTGCACCCAGGTAAATCGCTTGCCTGTGAGCAATAAACACCAGAGCTTATTAATGTGCAGTAATAGCATATGTAAACATGGCCCTGGTTATGAGCTTTCTGACCTGAGAAAAGCAAAAGAGTAATGGTACAGATAATGCCACATTTCTCCATCCTATCTGCAGAAGGGTGGAAAATATACAAACAAGAGAACAAAAAATCAGGTTTAGTTATTGAGTCTTAGAAAGCCAAAAGCAAGACAAACTCTGGAGATGGAGAGAACAGAGGGACTGTCAGAAAAAGGTGGGTGTAACTGAGGAGTATTGCTTTTGTATAAAAAGGTCCTTCTGATCCGGGGGCCCAACTGAGGAAGAAGGAAACTGACTGGAAAAGAGACAGAGGCTAGGTGTCATCATTTTGTTTCACTCATATTAAAAAATTCTGCCAATTTTTCTTTGAAAATCTCTAATGCCCCCATTCATAGTATCAAGGCCATGAGATTTAGCAAGGGCTGGGATATGCCTTTTGCCATCCCCTTGAAAAATTGCCCATGTCTAGTCAAATAAATAAGCCTATGAAAAGTGGTGGTTTGCACTTGTGCTAAACAAAGGGTTTGCTAGATCTTAGCGTTATTACCCAGGATCCCAATGGCAATGGACATGCTCCAGAGCTGTGGAGGGCTTCAATTCCAAGTATTCCAGGCTATGCCAGGTCTATGTTTGGATCTATGAACTGAGAACAAAGCCTTTGTTTTCCTTTCTCAGCAGCATGCTCAAACCCCACTGTGAAGGAAGTGGGCTGTATCAGCTGCAGATGGGACAGGAGAACTAGACTTGGGGACTCTGTGTGCTGAAGGGAGTAGGAAACTGGGTGAGAAACTGAGACTAGGGGATGAGGGTGCGTCTGAGGCTGGCTGGCTCAAGAGACTGGGGCTGGAAACTGCAAAAGACTGGGACCTGACTAGAACAGAAAGTCATGCAGGAAAATGGGGAAAAGGGTTCCTAGAAGCTAGGGGGGTGACTGAGATCAGACAAAGAAATTAGGACAGGGTTCTGGGAAGGAAAACATGGATGAGAGGAACCAGTGTACAGAAGGGGAACTGAAACTGGCTGGATCAAGAGACTGCTAAAAGGAGTGGGTCAGGGGAGAGGAGGAAGGACAGGTTGAAGAGCCTGGGGAAGCTAGGACATGAGGCTGAAATGGATTGGACGAGGAAGTGGGAAAGGGGAAACTGGGGTGTGAAGGGCAGGGGGCTGGGCACAAGGAGCTGTAGGGGTGGGATGGCTGTATTTGTAAAGCACTTAAGGATTAAAAAGGCTACAAAATGTGCAGCATGGTTATTTTTTTTCCAAATAATAATACAGAAGCTTAAGGGCTGCTATTGTCATGAGATGTCAAAGCTTGGATTGAATCTCAGGGGGGTACATGACAGTCTGATTGATACTTTGACTTACCTCTCCAAATCAGCTGCTGAGCACAAGGCACAGAGGTTTTTGTAGTACAAAAGTGCAAGGGTGCATGCCCACTCATTGAAAAGCAATTAATTTTAGCTCCATGCTTGCAAAGGATCTTGAGACATTGAACATTTGCCACTTCACAAGCCACGTGAATTGCAGCTTTCCCATTTGGCCTGCAGTTGATCGTAGCTTTGTGATTTAGCAATACCATTAGACTCTCCAGATGCCCATACATGACTGCTAGATGAAGTCCGGTTGCCCAGGACGTTTTTAGCTTATAACCAGGCAGCCAATACCCTGTAAAAAAAAAAAAAAAAAAAAAAAAAGGAAGGTGTATTACCATTCGTGGATAAGGATCTTTTGTAGCAGTCACTAACTGGGAACAATTTTCTTGGGAGTGGTTGGAGTTCAGCTTTGATGTAATGAAATTCAATCAGGGTTTAATATATACAAAATTCCATAGAATATAGCTTCATTTTCATTAAGTACTTTCTCCACACATGCTGAATAGATTGACTTTTGAATAGATTAACTCCAACTTCATTGTACTCTGAAAGTAGCATTTTCTTCCTGTGACCTCTATAGACTGACTAGAAAAGCCTAAAGCATTTGAAATGCCACCAGCTGAAACATACAGAGAAAATAGGATCTTTGATTTGGTAACAGCTGAGCAAATGCTACACTAGAATTAAAAAGCAGCATTTACTTAGGCCTGTGACTCAACAGATAGCATATCATGCTGTTCTTGTGTGGGAGATGGCAGGATCTCACATGTCAAGAGCTGGTTTCAGCCTTCCTGAGAATGGGCTTGTGATGCACGTACTGTGGACGCCCCCTTGCAATGTGTTTGCAGCAGTGTCACACATATACTGTCAAATGCTACCCCTCCCGGGCACATAGCTGCCTGTAGTGATGATGGACTTAATTAGTCCATGCATAGATCTGAGAGAGAAATGGCATGAAACTTGACTAAAAAATGTTCACCGTTTTCTTAATGGCAATTTTGCCACTCCCCTTCATCCCCCTGAAATTCTGCATCAGTGGTTCCTTTTTATTTTGAAACATATAAACACATGTAAGATTATGTAACACTTGTCATTGTACCTTTCATGTGATAAACAGTGAGCAGAAACACAATGGCACAGTGACTTGAAGGGGAAGGAGAATGGGTGCTCCTGCCTCCCATCTCCCTTCCCCAACTTCCTCCCCACAACTGTCCAACAAGGGGAGTGCTCTTGTAGCCAGTTGTCTAATGACCAGTCTTTGCTTCTGTGCTGAAGTGATCTGTCTGACTCACACAGATCACCAAGGCAACCAAATCAAATACCCACACTTTTGCCAGTTCTGAATTAAGTAGTGGGTAGGGGAAATGGAACTTAAATTGTACTGAGTACAGATGAGCAACACTCAGCAAGATATAATAATACCCAAATCTAAAGAAGACAGAATTTACAAGATTAAATGCATGTGTACTTTTGACATGCAGAACATAGTCTTTAGCAAATTTGGTCTGCTCCCCACCAGCACCCCACATTGTACCCAAATGGGACTGATTCTTGATGACTGTGCATAGATCATACCAGAAATAATGACAGTAATCAATTGTAAATAAAGTAAAATAAAATAATATTCTGGAGAATGAGCAGCGGACATACAGGACTGCTATCCTATCTTGTAAGCAGCACACTTTCTAGTAGAAATACTTACCAGAAGAAAATTTAAGGTAAAATTCCAGTGATGAACATGTAAGATTCTTAAAATGTAATCTTAGTGCACATACACTCAGTTTTCCATTTCTTTTTCCTTCCTTGGCTAATTTAATACGTATAAAATGTTATGTAAAGTATATGTACTTTATATAATGTAGTACAAGTAAAATGTATACCAAAATTTCCAGGATGTACAATATAGCCAGTTTAACTGGAATGTTAATGTCTGCTTTTCCTGTATTCTATGACTTCAACTGTTCACTCTTAATGTTACATTAACATAGTTTATTGCACTGAAAAAATGTATTGTATTGGAGAGAGAGAACAGGAAAAAATAGTATGTAATTTAGATGAAAAGCTTGCTCTTTTCTCTTTCTGCGCATTCATTTACTCTCCTCCTAATTCAGTTTCAAGAACATATCAAGAATGCTCTTTGTTTGATAATGCATTTTTTGTAAAACTCTACAAATCTTGATTTTCATTCAGAGGCTATAGTCATAAAAGTGACTCTGACTACAGCAACCTATTACTTGCACATATCTGCTTCTAATCTGTATTCTGTGGTATATTTGTTTTGCTGGCTTTTTCACTGCTGGCACAAAAGATTCAGTATGATTGTAGAAAAGCAAGTTGTCTGAATTAGACATCAGCTACAAAATCTTTCAGGTAGGTTAAGAAACCAGATTTTTTCTTGTTGCCAACAACAGAGGTGCATCGATACCTCTTTTTGATATTGGATCACCACCGACATAAAGAAAATTGATTGTATCAGAAATCAGCCTGATGTGGCTGATAATTTGCTTGATAAATGCCTGTATGTCCACATAGCCGCAGCGCGGCAGGCAGGCAGCAAGGAGCGCAGCCTGGCAGCTTGGCAGGCTGCGCATGCACATGCAGCTGGCAATGCCTGTTGTGCTGGAAGAGGAAGGGTGAGAGAAGGGGCTGGGGGCACAGATCAACCGCCCCCAATGGTGAGGGAGGCAGTGGGGCTGGGACTGGAGTAGGAGCTGCCCAGCTGAGGTGGGGACAGGCATGGGGTGGAGCTGTGGCTCATTTGGGGGAGCGTAGGGGGGTGGCTGCCATTACTGTGCACATCCTGGGAGGGCATGGGGGCAGCTGTATGTCCCCAGATCTGCATGGAGGGGTGGGGAGGCTGCAGCTGCAGGCTGGGGCCGAGGCTGCACCAGGCTCTTCCCAGAGCTTGTGGAGGAGGTGTTGGGCCAGGGTTCTGCTTGGTGCACGTGACAGTGGTGCTGGGGCTGGGGGCTAGGGCAAAATTTGGGGTGGCTGAAGCCCCCCTTATAGCCCCCTCCCACTGCTGCCACTGCCTGCCCCAAGCACAGCCCAGCCCAGCCTAGCCCCCACCAGGAAGAGCCCTCCCCCATGTGCTCCCAGGGTGCGCACAGTGGCAGGAACTGCCCCCCCTCCACGCACCCCGGGAGACATGGGGGGCTCTTCCTGGTGTGGGCTGGGCTAGGCTGTGCTTGAGGTAGGCAGCAGTGGTGCTGGGAGGGGGCTACAAGGTGGGGCTTCAGCTTCCCCAAATTTTACCATAGCCCCCACTCCCAGTGCCACCACTACCAAGTGCCAGGAACAGCCCACAGCTGCAGCCTCCCTGATAACCCCCCATGCAGATCTGGGGGCATAGGGTTGCCCCCATGCCCTTCCAGGGTGCACAGTGGCAGGAGCCCCCCCTCTCCCCATGCCCCCCAGATGAGCCATAGCTCCTTCCTGCGCTCCCCCCCCCGCCCCAGCCAGGCAGCACCTGCCCCAGCTCCAGCCCCAATCCCTCCCTCACCACAGGGGCCTTGACGTGTCCCCCCATGCCCCTTTCCTCCCCTCTCCCCTTCCACCACAACAAACTTACCAGCTGCATGCAGCTGTATTGGAAATTAGATTGATACCAGCTGATATGCCTCCATAAAAATCATCTATTGGTATTGGCCTCCAAAATCTTTATCAGTGCTCCCCTAGCCAACAAAATATGGAATGTAGAAAGAGCAGAATATGATTTGCAATTACTAATATAAGCCTACAGAGATAAAAGTTAGAAAATTTGTATACCTAAATTGTTAATTGCAGATCTGATACGGGTAAATGCATAAGAGAAAATAGTAGACACCAAGATATTATTTTATACAGTCACATTTCTGCCAGATTCAGCATTTATTTCTTTTTCATATATTGCTGTGGACAAGCTATGCCCACAGAAAGCTGATTTTCACCCCCTCCCTCCCTCATTCCCCCACCCCTCCAGGTATTTTAGGATGTCAGGATCTCTGGGCAAAGAGTAACTGGTGCCATCATACTGCACAGGAGGTAGGATTCTGGAATTTTCCATGTTATCAGAGAGTTGTTCATCATGGAAGCTACCTGTGCTCCAAAAGACTGTGTTTCCAGAGATGGCATGATAGAAAAGAAAAGCATCACAAACAGGACAAGAACTTGTCAGCTACTCTCAGAGAGTAAACATTGGGGTGTATTGAATTCAGCAGAACACAAATTTGTTTTATTATTTCAGGTCATCGGTGGTTGGAAACTGGTCTGTATTAGGGCTGTGCGAAACCACATTTGTTTTGCCATTTCAAAGGGACAACATTTTGGTTTGATGTTTCATTTAATTTTGAAACACTGTTCCATTTCATTTCATCAAATGAAATGTGGGGAGCTGGAGGAAAAGCAAGGGCAACACTGGACCCCTGCTGAACCAGATGGGACAACTGAAAACTGACGCCCAGGAAAGAGCCAACCTATTAAATGGATACTTTGTGTCAGTCTTTCATCAGTCCCATGGGATGCCCATGCCCACTACAGCACGGGGGGTCCGGGTAAGGGAGATCCCCTGCCCTCCATCAATGCAGACCTTGTGAAGGAACACCTTGTCTTGAAGGCTGGATACCTTCAAGTTATCTGGCCCTGACAGTCTACACCCCAGGGTACTCAAGGAGCTAGCAAGCATCATAGCCCAGCCCCTGGCACAGAACTTTGAAAACTCCTGGCGCTCTCGTGTAGTGCCCGAAGATTGGAAGAAGGCCAATATGGTGCCGATCTTCAAGAAAGGGAGGAAAGTGGATCCGGCAAACTATAGTTCCATCAGCCTGACTTCTATCTCGGGGAAGATCTCAGAAAAGTTTATTAAAGAGGCCATCCTTAATGGACTGGCCAACCCCAACATCCTGAGGGATAGCCAGAATGGGTTTGTTGCAGGTAGGTCTTGCTTGACCATCTCATTTCCTTCTATGACCAGGTGACCTATCACCTGGACAAGGGAGAAGAAATTGATGTCATATATCTTGACTTCAAAAAAGCCTTCGATCTGGTATCAACATTTTGGTGAAACTGGCCAATTGTGGCCTTGGGTCCACCACAATCCACTGGCTGAGAAATTGGCTCCATGGTCAGACCCAGAGGGTAGTAATTGATG